GATTGTAATTATTATTCTAATGATATTCCTCTTCATTTGTAAGTGAGAGGTTTTAGGTTCGATTCTCACCAAATGTGAGTTTGAATCACATTATTCCTAACTCATTGTGAGGTTTAGCCCATTCCCTCCACCCTTTTAGTGTAGACACAATCGTTCATTAATAAAAATAAATAAAAAATAAAAAAACTAACTATTGCTACCGACTACTCATATATTGGACCAACTTTTCCAAGGACTTGGCTCCCACATACCAAATTAAGTCTTAAAGCGAAATCCAAGTATGTGGTGATTTCTAGAGTTAGGTGAGTAGGTACAACCCCAAAATATATTATGGAAAATGTTGTTCAAGAACAGAAAATTCTCTGCACTTAGCATCAGTGTATGTCCAACTGGTTATCTAGGCAACAACATGATCAAACTACATAGATATATAGTTTGGCCATACTGTTATACAGAGCATACACAGGGTAGTTTAAGCTAGACTATGCAAATTAGGTTAATTAACTTTGTTCTGTATATGTACCCAATTCTGCTTCTTGAGTCCCTTGTTACAACATATCTTGGGACAGATTAGTCCAGTAAACACTTATTGTGTTCTTATTATGAAATCTAAGGAATTAAGAAAAATGGAGCCATATGGAATGGTATGACAACTATTAGAAGGCATGAGAAAATTCTCAAAATTTAAGATTGAATAGTATGACAACCTAACACCATTTAAAGTATACCTCAACACTAGGATTGTTAGAAATCCTAATAGAAACAAAATATCAAAATACCAAAAATATCATTAAAACTTAGAATAATGTTAACCTAGTAAACATTGAAATTCAACATAAAAGGTCATATGTCACGGCTTAGAGAAGTGCTACACTTGTGATGTCATTCTCTTTAAAATGACAGATCATGGTCCAAATTGGAGCTCAAATCTGTAACACGTGTACTTTGCTGTCGAATGTGTGCAGTGTCCAAGCTAATCATCAATATGTTCTTCAACATCAACTTTTGTTTTTGTTGGTAACCTAGGTTAAAAAATAAAACCAAAATTGACCATTAGAGATCACTCGAGAGCTAGCTTATTAAGTCCATGAATATCATCCAAGAAAACTAAGCAAATAGAGTCAACTGTGTATATATCAGAGCCTCAAACCAATTGTCGGCCTGCCTGCCTCCAATCCAACTTTCGAAACAAATTGCGAAAAAAAATATATATATATTGTTGAGCCAACTAATTAAGTTAAAGACCCATCACTGCAACGTGTTCGGACTGCAGCCTCACAAAAATAACTAAGCAAATTAAGCACATAACCAAATGTTAGGATTTTACAAGGCTTAATTAGATTAATTAGTTATAAATTTTCTTTAACTACTTTCTGTTAGGATTTTACAAGCAAAATTTCAGGTGTCATCCTGGATTGCTAAAACCCTTTTCGAATCGAATTCCGAGATTGATTCTGAAAATGTTTCCAAGGCATTCCAAGTATTTGAAGTTTTCGAAAATCATGAAACCCAACAAAGAAGATATGTGAATATTTGTGTTCTGTGTGATTCTATTGATTATTTGTATATCTAATCTTCTACGACTTGGGTCTTTGGTCTTTCGGTTGTAAATTATAATCCTTTCCTCTATTGATAATATTGTCAATTTTCCTTTAAAAATGTGAGAACTACACAGAAAATGAGTGCTGTGTCGAGACGAGATAGTAAGCAATGTTACGCAATTATATATGCATTGCTAAAGCCATTGCTCTAGAAAGCCAATGCCGCCCAGCGAGACGGGCAAGTCCCAGTTACGGGTGTAGTTTCCACTTGCACTCCCGTGTATCGTTTGGTGCTTAGAAAGGCATACCCTCAGACATAACGGGCTAACTCTACACATAATATTCCTAAGGCACATGCCCCAAGGTTTTTCATCTTCCTCAATACCTTTATTGCCCTCGTATCAGAAGCCCACATTACTAAGCTCGACAAACTAAAATCTCAAGGAATTCGTTGATTAAGTGCACAAGTTAACTATGGGTCCGTTTTCAATGGGAATTACATTTATAAGAAGAAATTGGAGTGTTTACTGATATTTGTACAGCTAATTAGTAATTAGTTGATTTTCTATGGCAACTGTGCCGTGCAACCCAAGAAAATTTCAATTGAATACACCTCCCTAAGTTAGATACCCCACACTATAACGTCTTCCTACGGCAATCTCCCAAAAATAACTGAGCGAATCAAGAACTTAACCAAATGTTTTAGGAGTTCACATATGCTGCTACATTTATATATAGAGGGGGCGTTATGGTGCGTTAGAGTGGACTAAAACTGGACTCTTTTCTTGGATTGCACGGCATGGATTGGACTGCTTTGGGGTTTGATCTACGTCTTGGCAGTGAGAATGAATGGTTACTCTGACCCAAGGCCCGTCTTCAAGGCCTCAACACTCTTAGGCATCTCAATATATAGCTTGCGTTGACTACGCACCATGGGGCATTAACTGTCGCCATATACAACCAAACTAGTTTTTGATTTAGTAATACTTATATTTCAAATGTTTGTTGAGATCCTCAAAACATTTATTAGCCCAACATCGAGTCACAAGTCCACGTTACTAAGCTCAGCAAACTAAAGCCCACACATGCACTTTTTAACTGACCAAATTATGAGTAATATGGAATTTACTAAACAAAAAGAAACAAAATTATTCCATCACTAGAATTGAACTGAAAAGTAAAAACAAGGAAGAAAAAGTCTCTAGTGCCTTAGCTTTTGCCGTCGGGTGCTGATGCCATATATAATTGAGGAGGCAGCATTCACAAAACACATGCCCAATTGGGTTGGTTCACATGCTCTTCAAACCTCAAGACATGATTACTTTTTTACCACTTTGAAGAGTTCTTAGATGTGTGCTCATGGATTGGAACATGTAACTCCTTTTTTTTAAAAGAAAACTAATGAAAATGGCTTGAAAACTTTGAGTTTTAATGATAAGGACAAAATAAAGGGTAAAGTGAATAGTACCAGGTTTGACTTTTTAGTGTAAAAATGTGGTTTTTCGTTAAAGTGAACAGTACCGTGGGTTTTTCGTTAAAACTCCCTTTTTTTATATGAATAAAGATTAAAAAATTGAACGGTTTTAATGATGAAATTTATACAATAAAGATAAGTTATTCTCAAGAAATAGAATGAGAGATGCAAATATCATACATCGACGTTTAGGTCTCAATGAAAAAAATTATAAAAAGAAAGAAAAAGGCTGAGAGAAGTATGAGGGGTTGTTCAAAGTCCATAAATTCACAATAGTTGAGGCAAACTTTTATATATTGACATCCTCAGTTTAAATTATCTCCACGAACTACAAGCATCCATACTATCCTAACCCTATTTTAAATTCTGTCATGTGGTCTTGTCCTTTTCTTGGGGGAAAAAAATGTTAATTAGTGAATGCGTATATGACAGGGTCAAAATTTAAATAAATTCTGTTTATTAATTGTCAATATATTTTTACCACATTGTGTTTCATCCCCTTGGAATCGAGACTATCCTTGTGGGCAAATAAATCTTTTGGAAATATTCTCCCATTTGCGAATAAAATCAACGATTGGAATTATTCAATTTATTAATCTTCATTTGAATATTAATTTTTCAAAAAATAATTTGAATTCGACATCGTTTAATCATCTAACGTGTCAAAGAAATGGACGGAATTTATCATGAATGACTAAATATCTCTGATTGAAATTGTTTTTTGTAAAGGTGATCTTCAAATAAAGATTCAGATATTGAACGATTCAGATATTGAAATTTATATAGTTAAGATACGTTATTAGCAAGTAAAAAATGAGTTCATCACCCAAAGAGAGAATGCAAAGTGTTATCCTCAAATAATCAAACGCATAATCTCATGTGTACGGCAATAGCTTTGTATATAGTTAAGTTCTTAAAGGTATTCTCATAATGTATCAAAAGTACTGTTATCAAATTTTCACCTCTCAATAGCGTCACCTTAATGCAATAAAACGACTTTTAATTAAAGTAGTTAAAATTATTTGCTTACGAGATTATGTGTTTAATATTTATTTTAAAAGGGTCATAACTGAAAGCAATTAAACTGTCTAATAAGTAAGTGACTTTGATCGTCCAATACATCGTATAATCTTTTTTATTATGTATATATTAGTAATCATGCATATATGCTATGCATATATTGTTGTACTTTTATGCGCAAACAGAAGCGAATTATAACAAATACAGAAGCGAATTATAACAAATATATGCTATGCGTATATTGCTGTACTTTTATGTGCAAATGGAAGCGAATTATAACAAAGTATCAAATATCAACGTCGTAGGCGAAAGCTAAAACAAACAATCTCAAACTAACACAAGAGATTTAAGTGGTTCGGCGTAAATCCTAAGTCCACGAGCGAAGCACTACGAGCAATTTCACTAAACAAACGGAGATTACAAAAAAGTGTTTAAACTTTCACAACCCAAATCCCACAAATTACAAACCTTAAACCAAACGAGTAGAGTACTCAAACCTAACAGAAAAGATTCTCCCAAATTGCTCTCTTAACTCACAAACTCACAAGTTGACTCTCACCAAATTGTCACACGAATGAGCCACACGAAATACACTAACCCTAAGGTCCTATTTATAGTGCATAGGACTTAGGTTACAATAAAAATCCTAATAGGAAGTAAATCCAAATCATAATTAAATAGGTAATTAATAAAATCTCTCCACCAAGGAAACCAACTAAGAAGTCAAAATCCAAAACCAAATAGAACACCAAAACTAAATAGGTAACACAAACCTAATTTTTTGCATCATCCTAATTTTCAGCTGTAGAATCCAACTTATATTAAGCAATTGACGACATAATTGTCATTCTTCAAGGGAGGTTGACAAAACTTATTTTCTTAAATAATAGTATAAATAAAGAGGTCGTGAAACATTACACACCGCATGCATGGCTGGGATCATCAGCGTGTAAATATTCCTTCTGTGTAAAGTAGTGAGAGCTCAAGATCCACTCGGGGCCAGGTTCAATGAATCTGAAAACATTACCTACTTTTTTTCTGTGCTGATTATTATTTAAACATTGTTCATGGTCGGATTAGACGTCAAAAAAAAAAGAGAGAGTTGGTGTATGCATGCGCGCGATCGAGGGATTTCAGAACATTGTTCCTGATATGATATGTATCATGGCCTTTGCTGAAAGCTTCTCGATCTCAAACTGCTCCTGCTTATAACTACCTCTCCTTCTTCAACCTCTTTCCTTGAGCTCCATGGTACGTTTCCTCTCTCTCTCTCTCTCTCTCTCTCTCTCTACACACACACACACACATACATATATATGTGTGTTCAATGGCGAATCTAGGATTCTAACTTTGGGTAGTCCTAACCAAGGGACGTTAAGCGCTAGTCAGGTGGCGGATTGGGGCGCCTATGCACCTAGACGGGGTCTAGGCGACAAACTAAGTTGAATAGGCAGATTTAAGTCAACTTACTATGCATCATATATACAAGTAATGCCTATTTACACTTACACGAAGAAAAAAAAAAAAAAAAAAAAAACTATACTTGTATTGAGAATTTGAGATTTATTATTCAACATAGAACTTACAAAAAAAAATAGAATTTTTGCTTTAGTAATTTAATGAATTTGATGATGAAAGTGCAAGCGACTACAAGCTCATAGTACATTACGAAATACATTTCAGAGGTCATATGAATTTATAGGAATTAAAAATAATAATATGTGTCAATTACATATGGTATAAAAATATTGATTAAGTAATACACCATCCCTTTGCTAATTGAAATGCTAGGGTGGCATAGACAACAATTTAAACAAAAAAAAAACAAAAAATGTGAGAGTTGGACAAGTCGGAAATGAAGAGAACAAGTCTTTATTCTTTGTTATAACCAAGGTTCAAAAATAGCAGAGTCATGGTGATCTTCTCTCTTCCATCACATGTTGAATCCGCTAGGTGGTCCTTAGAGATTTTTTCTTTAGACGTACGGTGGTCCAAGAGTGGATCTGCCCCTGGTGTGTGTGTGTGTGTGTATGCATGTATGTATGTATGTATATTCGTGCCAGATCAAATTTCCTTGTTGCTTTTTGTCCGTTATGCACAATCTATCTGGGTTTTTGTTGTTTTCTCATGTGTTTTATTTGATCTCGTATTCGGATTGCTAATTTTTTATGAGAAAAACAGTGTTCTCTTAATAATGTTTTTATTATATATTATTATTAGAAGCCAGTGATCTTTCAAGGGTTCTAAAATAATCCTTCATATTATTACATTATAGTCTAATTCTGGTTTTAAAATGTAATACTATATATTTCTTCCTTTTTGCCATTCGTTATATAGTCTACAACATACATTGTTCCAATGGGCTTGTGGAAATTTGTCATGTGATTACAAATATGCATATCTAATTTGTTCAGGGGAGCTGAGGATGTCACGGGGTGATTGAATTTGCACAAAATGGTTGCCCCGTTCGATATCTTAAACCCGATTTCTGGTAGCAGTGTTCTTGTTGAAGAGGTCTTGAATGTGGCTTCATTTCAAGGCTTGGATGTAATTGGAGCTTACTGTTGAAATGGAACCAGCAAATAGCAATCCTGGGCAGCCAAGACATACTGCACCAATTTATTGGAAATGCTTTCAAGTTCAAGCCACGGATGTGGCTGCAGTTTGCATTTTCCTCAAGAATTTCTGTCAATGTTCAAGTCAGGCAATATTATCATGCCACTACTATTGTTCTGTCAGGATGAAAGGGAAGGGAGGAGGTGGCCGGAGGAAGTAAATAAGGGCAAGGAGTGTAGGCTAAAAATAGGAGACGTCGAAGTTAAACAAGAGTCAAAGCTCCCCCATTTCAATGAGAATTTTCCCAAGTTAGAGTGCCCATCTGCACCATGGTTGGGTTTGCTCTTCACTTATTGGTGCCACATTTGCCAGGTAATAAGATATTACAACATAGTTTAAGCATTGTATCCTTGATCGTATCCATGCTGACTAGAACAGTAGGCTCATTCGTTTGCACCTAAATTCAAATTAATGTCCATAATTTAGATTAGATTAAATAGAATATCGTTGGAATAAAATTAACATGATTTAAGTACTTAATAATTTGGATTTTTGCTACCCATTAATTAATTATTTAATGTTATATTCTGATAAATAAAATAGGCTTCGGAAGAATCACATGTTGACTTGGATGAAGGGCAGATGGTAAGCACTCATGATCAGATTAAGTTGGCCAAGTTCAAGCCAGATGGTGACCTGACCATCACATGGAACATGCAAAGCAAGAATGGCAGTTTACATTGTCCTCTTTTTGTTGACCCCCCTATGACCATGACCGTCAATCATCATCACGGTCATGATCAATTCCACATGGATCTTCTAGTCTGGAACACTAGGATCTCTCTCTCTCTCTCTCTCTCTAGGGAGTTTCTATTTTGTTCTACTGACGAGTTCCCCTTAGCAACTTCAAGTATTTTCTGTTCATGTGTAATAGTGCACTTGATCACACAGTCTACCCCTGTTATTTTTCCTCAACTTTGATAAACATTGGTGGCAGTTTGTATATTTCCAATTTTATTTGATTTTGTGAGCAACATTAATCTGTTTGATTTTATGCTTTAGTTTGCTGATTTTGGATTTCCTATCATTTCCAATGTTTAATAAAGCGAGCGAGATGGCTTTCCTTTAAAGTACTGAATGTCCTGAATCTTCTTATTAAAGTATATAAATATCAACAATACTCATTTCAAATCGGAGATCATTTAGTCATTCAAATGTATAGAACAAAAATGAAACTATCCATCCAAATTGGGTTTCGTTTCCATGGTAGTAACTCCTTTGCATTGATGCCTGCAATGAGATGGATGGGAATCATGCTGCACCATTTGTATTTGTACACAAATCCTTTTAGATTTGTCAATGCCATGAATCAATTCTGTATGTCTGTAGAGGATTAATCAGAAACGTTTCTGATGCTGTAGTTTGGTTTAATATGCCAAAAAGCAACCCTAAAAGACGCAAAGGGATGCAAAGCGAAAGGATGCCGGATCACTTCTTCCTGAAGGAATCTGGGGGGAAATTCAAGTTGATCAAGCATAATTCTGTGCTTCCATTCTTAAAGAATCTCTCTTTGATTTGATGGTTAAATGTGTACAACTCTGTGTTTCCAATCTTTTAAGTGAGAGATGATCACTTGGTAAGTTGTGCATTTTGTGCCTTTCTAAACAAGTTGCATATATATATATATATATAGGAATATGATCAAGGGACAAAGATTTTGACAAATATTGTTACACTTCTTCCCAATCTTTAGATCTAGTTTAATCTAGCGGTCCCTAAGTAAAACTTAAATTGTTCTCGCTAAGAAATGAGTAACGAAATCAGTATCAACATCGAAGGCCTTCATAATATTAAATCTACAAAATGAATCCTAAAATTCACAATTGTAAATCATTTCATTCATAAGAGAAAGAGAAGAGAATCACAGACACCATAACTATTGAATCAAATATCTGCATTAACCTAATGTTCTTTTCTTTTTCAAGCTTTCTTTTCCTTTGGTACTGGTGGGGGAAACAAAACCCTAAAAACCAAAGCAGCTACAGTTGCTCCAACAAAGGGGCCAATCCAATAAACCAAGAAAAGCTCCCAACTGTTGTGCCAATTATTTACATACGCCCACCCAAAAGCATTGGCAGGGTTCATGGAAGGTCCTGTGTACCCATTTCCGGCGACCACCAATCCAATCGTCACGATCGAAAGCATCCATATCTTCACAATTGGATTTCTAGGCCCTCTCAGCATAATCACAAGCAAAGCAAAGCAAAGAAGACAAGTCATCACCCCCTCAGCTATAATACCAGTATACAAATCCACTTTCAAAGAAGGCCCTCTAAGCATGTGCTTGTACTTCTTTGGCATCACTTGTAAAATTGCCTTGGCGCCACCTACTCCGCCGGCCGCCTGAGCCGGGAACCGAACTGCCATGGAGAGGAGAGAAGTTCCCGGGTTGAGACCAGCAGTGTAGAAACTGGCGGTGGTGGAGGGGTTGAAGCTGGCACCACCCAAGAGCTTGCCTATCAAGCTGATTGTTAAAATCAGAACTGTGGAAATTATTGTGGTGATGAAAAGACCTGACAAAGACCTAGCTTGGATGCCAAGAAACGAGGCTATGATGGATGTGAAAACTCCCATGCTGGGTGCACAGAACACCCACATGGAGGTCAAAATTGCATCTCCTGCAGCTGCCTTGATCACCCCCATCTTATCTTTCTTTTGCAGCTTTGCTCCTACAATTTTTCTCTGTTGAATCTGCTTTTTCTGACCCGTATATATTGGTAGTGCGTCCCACCAATGTGGGAAAACAACATGTGCACTGCAAATCTCAGCCGTCCAATAAACTAGAAAAGCACTTATCAGATTGATTCGATTGGTAGAGCCTTGGTAGAAAGCACTTGTGGGCATCGTTCACCAGCCGTTCTCCTACCACTTGCTTACCTACCAAAAATATTGGAATACACGAGCAAAACGTTAACCTTTTTATATTACGAGTGAGGTGGCTTTGAAAGCATGTATAAATAATTGACCCATTTTGTTTGGTTGGACGTTGACAGAATTGTGCCCGTATGCATAGAAAAAGGATAGGAGTCTTTGATTAAATTGTGCAACCTCTTTATACCATATTTAGGGCCTCGTATTTAGATCTCGTACAAATACTCGAGAGACTTAAATGTAATTATGTGATAAAGGAATGGGCAAATATGTAATAAGTGAGCAGTCATTATTCTATAAAATGACCCCTCACCCTCACAATTAGGGGAGGCCATTTCTGAGGCCAATTCCTAAGGCTCCTCACCCCCTCAAGCTCTCTCTCCCTCAAATAAATACGTAATCAATGTGGACGTAGCCCAAACATTGGGGTGAACCACGATACATCTTGTGTTATTTACATTTCTTGCAGATTCACGGTCGGATTTACGTTATTCCAAGACCTCCGGTTTTGTGCATCAACATTTGGCGCCGTCTGTGGGAATTGATACGAAAAGTTGTGTCGGTTCTTTTTCATTTTTTCACCTCCGCCATGAACCTGCAAGATCACAGAAAACCCAGAAACAAAAAAGATCCAAATATCAAACACTCATCAGCTCTATCTATCTCTCCTGCTTTCCCTGTCTGTATTTTGCTCATTTTTCATCAGCCCAGTCCTCCATCTTCTTCTTCCTCGTCAAATCGATGAGCTCCCATTTCACTTGATTCTCTGAATCTCCAACTGATCAGGTGAAACTCTAAGATGGAGTGGACGACGGTCCAGGCGTGGACCTAGAAATTGAGCAGTCGCAATCGCAGCCCTATACTGTTGAGAGTATCAGTTAGTTTCTAACTTGATCGAGCTCCGAAACCCCTCCCGTGATCTAGCTCGCCGCCACTCACTGAAATCCGCTCGAGCTCTGCGCCCCTTTATTTTCTGCCGCACCAGAAAGACATGCATAGCCGACCGTCGTACAACCGGCTATTCGGCTCAGCTTTTCACTCTCGGATTTCAGCTCTCTTGCTCGCCATGGTCTCCACCATGGTCACCATCTACGTCGCCGGCCAATTGTGGCAGGATGCTGCCGATAAGGTTTATTTGATTCAGAAGCTGGATAACAGAAATGGTCAGAGTCAATTTGCTATGGTCGTAGATGACACACTTTAAATTATAGGTTGCAAGTACATTGATCCAATCTATTCTTTGACATCATCGCCGATACGACCTCTCTATCTCCAATGGACGAAGAGCAAGTAGTAGTGGATCCTGGCAGCTTCTCTACCCAAACCCAGAAGCCAAAAGCCGTTTTTTCCCCAATCTGCTTTTCTCTACTCTGTCTGAATCCCAACCCAGAAATGTAAATCAACCCTTAAACCCTCAGAATTTACCGAATCCAATTGGAAGACGCAATATTCTGGATTCTGGGTTCTCTTCATTTTCTCCCAATACCTCAAAAATCTCATCCGGGTCCCTCCAAAATCCCAACTTTTCGAGTAGTATCTTCGTTACGGGCTCCAAGCCTCTTGCTTTGAGCTTTGGAAATGCTGTTTCAGGGAAAAATATCAGTGGGTGTGGTGTATTAGGGCTGCCAACGGTGAAAAGTTTGTATTCAGGTTGCGGCAGGTTCGAGTTGATTTGTTTGTTTGGTACTCAGGCTGCTGTGAAGCCGTCGACGTGTGACGGGCTGACGGTTGATAGAATCATTGCTAGTGAGTGGCTGATTCTGGATGAGGATGAAAGTGATTGGAAGAGTCATGCTGCTGCAATTGCACAATCTATTCATCTTATTAAGAAACATTTGCAATGGAAGAAGCTGCTGATTAAGTTAGATATGTTATCAGCGGAGGTGAATAAGCCAAACCTGTAGAATGATCATGTACACGTAGGGAAGATAAGCTATAAGCATGGGTCTCTTTTGGGTAAAATGAAAGAAGTGCAGGCATTTGAGCGGGAATTGCTTGAGCATGTAGACATGGTAAAGCTTGCCCGTGAGGAGAATGACGCAGAGCTGGAATCGGTGGGCCTTCAATACTTCTCATATGCATGTTATTTCATGGCTTGTGCCGCATTGAATAATTAGCATCAAGTCTTCAAGCACTCATGAATAAGATAAGAACTGGTGCAAGGTTCCCTCTATCTGCAAGTGCAATGGATGCTCTCTGAGTCGGCCAGGGCTGGGGTCAAGGCCAGCAGTGATTGGGTCATGAACAGCATGGGCAAAGGGATAAGATAAGATTCTTCATCATGAACCTGCCTATTTTCTAAAAACCAACTGTCGACCACCAACTTCTGAATCATGCATGTTCCTCTTTTATGAAAAAAAAAAAAAAAAAAAAAGCAAAAGAGAAAGCAAAAGCAAGGAATAAACACCCCACCAGAATGATGTAATTTATTTTTATTATCTTTCGGAGACATCTGTATAAACCCCATCAGAAGGTAATATGTATAAACCTCATCAGAGGGTAATTAAAAAAAACGGCAAAGCCCAAAATAAATGGGCTGGAATGTTGTGTGAAGAGCGAAGGCCCATAAACCTAAAATAGCATCAACCAGGTCATCAAAAGTACGCCCAGTACTCCACAATTATTCGGCAACCCGCCACTATTACCACCAACCAGGTGATCAAAAGTATGCCCAGTACTCCAAAATTATTCGGCAACTTGCCGCTATTACCACCAACCAGGTGATGAAATGTATAACCCGTACTTTCCTTCATGCCACCAACCAGGTGATTAAAAGTACGCCCAGTACTTCAAATTATACATGAGCATTACTCATGTCATTCATACATAAACATTCATGAGCATCACTCATGATAATCATACATAAACATTCATAACCATCATTCATGTCAACATTCATGAGCATCACTCATGTTAACATTCATGAGCATCACTCATGACAACATCCATGAGCATTACTCATGTAAATCAGCTTCAAAAGCTTCATTTACAGAGCTCTAGCTTCAAAAGCGTCATTTACAGAGCTCTAGCTTCAAAGCTTCACTTGCAAAGCTTCACCTACAAAGCTTCAGTGCAGGGTATACAAATATCGCCTCCGAACAAC